ACCTGCATCCCCGGTGTTAGTGCTCCCGCCCAGAGTAGGGCACAGTCCTTCACGTGATGTTCACCTCCCGCACCACACGCTCAGCTTGGATCCAAGTTAGGTGCACAGTCCTGTCGTACAGACCACATTAGGTGGTTCCGACTCGTAGGTGACCCGCAATTATTCGCACAGCCTTCACGTGATCGTAGCACTAGAGCATATATATATGTTACACCCAGGCCTGTCGTACAGACCACTTTAGGTGGTTCCGACTCGTGGGCAGGTTTAGTTATTGATATTGAGATTTGAGCTCTATATGCAGCCGTACAGGTCACGTTAGGTGACTCCGGCTGCCAGACTATATGCTATTGATACGATTTATACCTGAGCACTTGCATTTCATTATGAGGTTTGACATGGCATATCCTTGAGCATTATTGGCATATCTATACATACGTATATATGATATTTTCTGGGAAGTATACAGGTTTTACGGCGAGGGGTTAGAATGTATTTTACTAAATGGTTTTCAAAAAGATTTGTTTTTGCCCACTCACGCTTTTGTTTTGCGCCCATCCAGGTTCTAGTTGCTTAGCAGGTTCAGTGGTTTCCCAGAGAGCTTCTCGGCATTTCTGACAGACATTCACCAGCGTAGGGTCACCTTCGGGTGTACTGTTGTCGTATCATTTTCTTTTGGACTGCTGTAGACTTATTGCTCTGAACTTAGTGTCTCACCTACGCTAGCACTTGTTTTTAGTACCTTGTATGCTAGTTTTTAATTATTCGTACTTTTTATATTACTGTTTTATTAGCTTCCGCACGTGCACATGGTTACGTCACCTCCGCATGGCGGCCAGCACGCCCTGATCTCGGTCGGGGTGTGTCACATACAGTTCGAAAACCTTATTTCAAACCATTTTCAAACACATAATATTTTTAAGAAAAACGTACAGTTCGAAAACGTTACTTCAAACCATTTTCAAACATTTCGTGGATGCAAGGTCAAGTTGCATATTCAAGCCTCCAAGGGACTCTGCACCTCCAGCAAGGCAACAAATGCGTTCTCATTCTGATAATATCACTCTAGGGCAGTAAATACTTGCAGCAAAACCTACAACACATCCAATGCTTCAGCAAATGCCTTGTATCAATTGCATGACCTCGCATCTATGGGTTTGATATAATCCTACCATTTTGCGTCTGTGGGTTGATGAGATGATTTTGAACTTTTGAGAGTGAGACTGATTTGAGACCGAGAGCATCACTAAGGCCTACTCTAACTCTGGAGTAAAACTCAAATTTTAGATTCTAAACTTATTCCAACATTTGAGGTAAATATGAGTTTCAACTCAAAACTCATTTCTGGAGTAAATTTAGCCCAAGATTCCTCTTGGGTTAGTGGAGCTAGTTCATCATATATATATATACTTTTTTTCAGTTTTATATTTATAAATTCATTGAATCCAACAACTAAGATTTAATATGATCAAATCCAACAGTAAAAAAAAAGGATCTAAGGGTCTAAATTTAAATTTAACGGTTAAAGTAAACATAAAAAATTATTTTATGTGTTTCATATTCTTCATGGTGTTCCACGAGTTTCATGGTATCAGTTTAGAGATTTTTCAATATTTATCGGAATCTGAATATTTTTTTTATTAAAATGTTCATAAAATTAAATTAGGATTGTGTACATAATTTTGTTTAAAAAAAATTTACTTTAAGAAAAAATAATTATCCTAAATTCATTCTCTAATATTCTCGGGCTAAAAAATTTAATCCATAAGGGTTGAAGAAAAAAAACTGTTTTTGGGTTAAAACCTAAATTTTCTGAACTAAAAATTTTAGATTTTAAGCCAAAGATTGGAGATGGTCCAAGCAGGAAAGTGATGAAATTATCTATAATTGAGTCCACACTAAATGTATGGATTCTTAACAAACAACCAATTAGAACATAACATCTAATATGGATATTTAATTAAATGCTTTTCTTTTATGGTATTGTTAAGGAGACTAAATTTTGTAAACTAAATGATGTGGCTGTTAATATTTTTTTTTGTCAAAATGTGGTTGTTGATAATTTATGTATTGATTAACTCGCTTATTTTTTAATAGTAACAAGTGACAATTGAGGATGAAATGACTAATTTATCCTTAAATTTGATATAATTGATTCTGCAATCTAACATCAATTGGTTAATTGCCTAATTTTAAATAATCAAACCGCAATTTATCCTAAAGTTTTATTTTTATATCTTTGTTTCATTGTCACCAAATTTTACGCAGCGGTATGTTTGTATCATTTAGTTGCTGTCATTCTAGTCACATCCAAAAAAATTTTGACGAAATTATTGGAAGATGTGATGACGTGCCCACTGATGATGTTCAACTTAACTGTCATGTCCCACTTTCTTATTAAACGTTATAGGCACCAGTAGAATTCTGCACAACACTGATAGCAGCCATGTCCCACCTTCTTTTTAAACGTTGTGGGCACCACTAGAATTCTCTACAACAGTGATCAGAAATTGTTTTCTTTCGTACACATTTAATGGTGCCAGCTTTGCAACCGCAAACGCAGGTAATATGGTTCATTGAGTGGGTTGTAGGCTTAAAAATCATAAATTCATACGGCCATAGCAATGGAAAAAGACCTGAGTCAATTTTGGGAGTCTTCATCAAGCATGGTCCACAATCTTTCCCATTTCCATTTTATAAATGCAGAGTATATACTGTATACAATGCATGGCGTCGTCGAGTGAGAATTTTCCTTTAAACTGGACATCAATCCGTGAGCAGAATTCATATACATACCCACTGATATGTAGGTAGGCTGGGATGTGTTAAATCAAAGTTAATTAATCTGGAACCTTTTTCGGAATTATTCCTTGTAGTATAGAAATGTAATTTCTAATTAGTATATGACTTCTATCTGAATAGGGATTGATATAACTCTATATATTGATATAAGGGTGCTTTAGATTTAGCCCCTTACAACTGTTGAACTCTACACATAAACCCACCTATATTAAAACATCTAAATAAAACCCAAATTTTGAATTTGATGTCATGTAAGATAAAAGATGTCCATACATTTAAATTTATTTACAACACCATGCCACCAACATTAATATGGCTATTACGGTTTTTTTGTAGACTTTTAATTTGTTGTCTTTTGTTTGTCAACAACATTCAATTAATTCAAGTTTTTTTTGCTTTTAATTTAAAAAAACAAAAAAAAGAAGAAGTTCTTTTCTTCTTTTATGTGAAATCGCCTAATCCAAATCTAATTAGTTCAATATACATTCTATTGAAAAAGTAGATACATTAACTTGCGAAAATAAAAAAATTAAAAAAAAAGGTAAAAATAAACTTGTAGATGCATTGTTTCTTGTAAAAACTAAACAATAGTTACATTATTTTCATAAAAAAAAAAAACAATGTGTAATTTTTTTTTTTAAAATTACACAATAGGTACACAATTTTCGTAAAAATTAAATAATAGGTACTTTATTTTTGGACAAAAAAAAAAGAAAAAACTAGTAGAAACATTGTTTCTTTTAAAAATTAAACAATGAATTTATAAGGTAAATTAGTTTTTATGTATTTTGCATGTATGGGTTTGTTATTATGTAGGTAAATTATTTTTCATGTATTTTACATATACTGGGTATATTATTTTTCTTTTTTTAAGCAATCTTATATTTTAAAATATAATTTACCTACATTAATCTGTAAAATATAATTTTATTGAATTAATTAAGCAATAAAGCTTGTATAATAACATATATTAGACATGTTTTATGTTATTATATATTACGCAATGAATTTGTAACATTTTTTTTTTTTTGTAAAATCATTAATTATCTCTTACCATCTATCCGCATGACATTAATTATGTACATCAAACGTTCAAATAGGGTTTAGAAAAAGAAAAAAAAAATTCAAATAAGGGTATTTTAGGCATCTGAACTTTTTTAATGGGTGAAGTCAAACATAATTAATGAATTTGCTGATGTGGAATCTAGTTAATGGGTTTTATTCAAGAAAAAAACTTATGTCGGGTTTTAGGTAGAGAAAATTAAGTTTTAAGGGCTAAAGTTATATTTTCAGATATAAAAACCATGGCAATTACCTTCTCAAGAGAAAGCTGTGGCATGCATCACGCCAATCTTGTATTGTATTTCATTAATTTTGTCATCGTTGTCAATACACGAAACACGTTTCCAATAAAAAATAATGAGAAACGTGACTGGTTGTAATGTTGTATCGCTCCAAATTATAATATTATTAAATAAAAACTCAAATTTTGTCTCAGATTTGCCTCATTAAATCAACTCCAACCCTTGGAGTAAGTTCTAAATTTTCTCTTCTATTCCCCCATTTCATTCCAACCCTTATTCTAAAATGGGGTTAAGTCATAAAACTTAAAAAAAGTCAGATTCCAACCAAGATTAGTGATTAAGCCCATATGTGAGAGTGAAACAGATGAAATTGGACGACAAGCGCCCAAATTCACGTGCGCCACTCAAGGCACGCTCTTCAGCCAACTTCAAAGCTGCAAAGTGCAGCCCTTGCGGCCCCCACCCACATGGTATATCTCCCACTTGTCTGCCAATAAAATTGAGCCCAACGACGCTTTTGGTTGATCAACGGCTCACATTTAAATGGATTGTTGGTTATCCAACGGTCCATATTTATTAAATCTCATTATCACGAGTATCACGCTAAAAGATTTTAAGTTCACTTTTGTTAATTAATTAATAATACAAAACACGTGATCACAGCTCTTGATTAAAACCCCATGATGTTATAGCCATCAGTTTATATAACTTGAGTTTTTCTTACCCATTTTCTAGCCAAACAAACCACAGTTTTGTGGCTAGTCCCAACTTAAACAAATTCAAATTACAATGACCGTACCACACCCTAGTACTCCCGCAATCCAAGGGTCTAACAGTTCTATCGCAATACAGAAAATAGACAGTATAGTACCAATAAAGCTGCAGCGTGAGAATTACCTCTTCTGGAAGTTGCTGTTTGAGGCTATCTTTAAGCGCTACATGCTCACCGGCATTGTTGATGGAAGTGAACCTTGTCCCTCAACTTTCTTGGCCGACGAGAAAGGAAATGATCGTGCGAATCCGGCCTTCGACATTTGGCACGAGAAGGATCAGAGCATCATAGCCTTGATGAAAGCAACCATCTCTGAAGATGTTCTACCACTGACAGTTGGATTAACTTCTTCACGCGATCTTTGGCTGAACTTGGAGAAAAGATTTGGAGTTGCAGGTGTGTCTTCAGAGTACCGGAGAAAACTGGCTGCTGCTTCTTTGGCCACTACTGATGTTTGTGATGCAAATGCTGTTCTTTTGGAGAGTGGAGAGTTGCGCCTTGTGCCGCCGATATTCCAGAAATATGGAAAACGTGAAGCATTTTCAGGCCCCATTGTGACGGTCAAGGTGTTTGAAGACAATACTCTGATAGTGGAGCTTCTCGCAACGAAAGGCGAGGGAAGGGTTTTGGTTGTTGATGGTGAAGGAAGCTTGAGGCGTGCCGTTACCGGAGGAATGTTGGCAAAGTGTGCCGAAATTATGGGATGGTCTGGGATTGTGATAAATGGGTGCATCAGAGATGTTGATGAGGTAAATGGATGTGAGATTGGTGTGAGAGCTTTGGCCACTTGTCCTGTGAGACCAGTCAAAAGTGATGGTGGCCAAAAGCATGTTCCTATCAAAATTGGAGGAGTCTGGATTCATGAAGGAGAATGGTTGTATGCAGATGGTGATGGCATCCTCATCTCCACATCCCAATTGTCTATTTGAATCCCCATAGATGTTTGTTTGCTTCGTATCTGAAATTTTTAAGCCCGGCCAATAAGACTAATCAAAGGGAAAATGACTTCTTTTCTCTCTTACATGGCTCATATTTATTTATAGATCTAAACATCCCAATAAATAAAAAGGGAGTGCAAAATCATAAATCACTTCCCTAATAAAAACCTCAAATGCATTTGGATTCGTTGTATTTTATGTATTCTGCTACTTGTGTGGTCTAAGCTTCATTTTTCAATGTACTATTTATTTAATTTGAAGGGAATGAGAGCAAGGTTTCATCTTTTATAATCATATTAATTAATATCTTTCCGAAGAAAAAAAATCATTTTAATTAATCACATAATCGTAAAAAGTACTTATAATTATATTTATATGAATTAAACTCACGTATCCTCAACAAAAAAACAAAAAAAAAAAAAAAACAAAACAAAACTCACGTATCTACTATATCAGGCCTTAGCTCTAACAGCCTCAATCTCTTAAGTGGCCAGAACATAAGTTCTCTGATCATATTTTTTTTTACAACATCAGTTCGCCTACATACAACTATACAATTTTATTATTTCGATTTCTTTTTATAACTCAAACATAGAGTGCACTCAATCGGTGTCACATCCCGACCCGGGTTCTTACCACATTCTAGGCTTGACTTAACCGTAGTACAATATTATCCGCTTTAGGCCCTGACCACGCCCTCACGGTTTTGTTTCTGGAAACTCACAGGAGAACTTCCCAGTGAGTCACCCATCCTGTGATTGCTCTCGCACGAACTCGCTTAACTTTGGAGTTCCAATGGAACCCGAAGTCAGTGAGCTCCCAAAAGGCCTCGTGCTAGGTAAAGATGAGAATATACATATAAGGCTTACAAGATCCACTCCCCTGGGTGATGTGGGATGTTACAATCCACCCCCCTTAGGGGCCCGACGTCCTCGTCGGCACACATCAGGCCAGAGATTGCTCTGATACCAAATTGTCACATCCTGTCCCAGGGTCCTACCACATCCCGGATTTGACTCCACCGTAGCACGATATTGTCCTTTTTAGGCCCCGACCACGCTCTTACGGTTTTGTTTCTGGGGACTCACACGAGAACTTCCCAGTGGGTCACCCATCTTGGGATTGCTCTCGCGCGAACTAGCTTAACTTCGGAGTTCCAATGGAACCCGAAGCCAGTGAGCTCCCAAAAAGCCTCATGCTAGGTAGAAATGAGAATATACATATAAGGCTTACAGGATCCACTCCCCTAGGCGATTTGAGATGTTACAATCGGAATATGACAACTAAATTTCCTCAACATAAAAGCATTTGAAAATTAATTTCCATTGTTGATATTTGAACGTAAAAGCCATTTCAATTTCCTTTAAGAATAATTTCAATCATAATTTGTACCTGTGGCCACAACACAACAAAAACTACTTCTTGAAATTCATATCAATCTACTAATTTATCCAATTTATTGAAAAGCAGGAACATTGAAACCAAACTATAGAAAAACTTGATTAAATCTATGAAAAGAAACTAACCAAACTATAGAAAAACTTCATTAAATCTATGAATAGAAACTAACATTCATCAATCACGATTCGCGAAATTAGATAATAATGAATAAAGTTTCATTAAACATCCACAACGTAAAATTCACATCAAAACTCTAGAATTAGAAACCAAATAAAAAAATTCACAGTTACACTTTATATAGGTAAAATTCACTTTTTTTCCTGATAAAACTACAAAATCAATCTCACTCCGACATTTTCCACGAGTAGGGAAATGAGTGGATCAGCCATTTTCAGCTAGTGTTAGAGATTTGGCCGACAGCCAATAAGGAAAATAAATAGGAAAGTATGTATGAAATAAATGCATGATGGTTGTGGTATTATTGCTTTTATCCTACCACACCCATTAGGAGGCAGATTCTCTGCCCTTCCATTTTTCCTGTTTTTTCGTGCTCTTCTATTTTATGTAGTTACGGTTAAGCCAAGTTAATATTATATATATATATATATATATTTTATAAAGATAATAAGATAAAAATGAATAGTAATATAAAATATTAATATAACTTAATCGTGATCATACAAACAAGAAGACACTAGAAATGGAAGGGCAGAGAATCTGCCTCCCACCCATTAGACAGCCAATAGGATCCTCATTCATAAGACAGGGACACCCCTTTCTTCTTGTGGTCCACCCACGTGCGTGCATTTAAACAAATTAATTAAATTAAATTAAGGCTAATTTTATAACTCAGTATTATGGTCTGGTGCACTTAAAAGTGAGAGGTTTTAGGTTTAAATCTCGTTGATGGCGAATTTGATAGCAAATTATGTTAAATTTACAAACTATAGGAATGAATATATTTATCAACACTTAAGAATTACCCTTAAATTAACACACATACATAGAACCACCGACATATTAATTAAATTAAATTAAATTAAATTAAACACACTTAAATAAATAAACACATTTTTTAATTAATTATGTTTGTTTATAATGCTATATTTGCTTTGTATTTAAAATTAAATTATAGAGATAAACAAAGAATTTTATTTTCAAAGAACAAACCTACTAAGTACACACTTACAAGGCATACAAAATAAAAATATATATTTGTAAATAGTAATTGTCATTTTCCTTGCCCTCCCTCTTTCCAAACGGGTAGATTTGTACAAAAACAATTACTATTTAAAATTAATAAGGGTTCATTTAGATATGTTTTTAAAATAATTGAAAACACTTTTAGAGAAAATGTTTTTAGGTTCTAAAAACACTTTAAGTGCTTTCTACAAGAAGCACCAGTTATGTGTTTATTTCAAGAAGCACCAGTTATGTGTTTCTTTCAAGAAGCACTTTAAGTGATTTTCCAGGATTTATTAGTATTTTTATTAAGGATTGTTTCCAAAAACATTTGCATAAAAAGCGTTTTCAGTCATTTTAAAAGCATCTCCAAACGAGCTCTAATAAGGCCAACTTCATTGCCCTTACTCTTACCTTACCCATGTCCTCCTAAAATTGGTGGAGATGCTCTTATCAAAAAGGAAATGGGAATAATAATGTTTTGCCAAAGAAAGAAAGAAAAGAAAAAAAAAACTAGATGGTGTAGATAGGAAGGTGATTTTTGCACCATTACTCGAAAACATAATATCGGAAAGCAACTTTTGTTGCGGATGTAATTGTCATATTCGGTTGATGATTTGTAATTGTCATATTCGATTGATGATTTGTAATTTTGGAATAATAATGTTTTTTATACAAACGAAAAAAAAAAAATTAAAATCATAACCAGAAACATAAAGATCTATTTATAGCAATACAAAAACAATTGTTCGGTCAACAAATAACTCCCAACTCACTAAGATTATAAAAAAAAATCTCTAAAATTATTAATAATATGCATTTTAACCAAAATATTACTTGAGATTGACATGATTTATTTTTGTTTGGCGGGCTACATTTGTCGTTAGCACAATGTAGATGATCTCATCAATTCACTAGGGCTCCATTAATTTTCACAAGAATGAACCTCACCCTCAACCTCAAGAACGACCTAAAGAATAGACGTTTTTGATTAGTAAATTGCAGTGCATAATTGTGTGAAAGAAGAGAAGATGTTGGTGTGAGAATTCAAAAACTACAGAAAGAGAGTGAAAGCACAGAGAGAAGAGTTTATAGAATCGCAAGAAATGTACTACTTATATTGGTAGATATAACGCTGCGGGGACTACCCGAACTCAGTAAGTTAATCTTATAGGGTAAAGATCCTATGTAAGATTCTCATCTGAACTAACTCATAACAGCTCATAACCAACTTGTCTAATAACTCCATTGATCTTCTGACAAGTGGGAATCTGTCATCCTTTGATGTCATAATTCTTACAGTTGGCATGTATCTTAAAATATGAAAACACCCTTCTCTCCGGAAGTTGATCGGATAGCATGTGATACATATAAAAACCATGGCAATTACCTTCCCAAGAGAAAGCTGTGGCATGCATCACGCGAATCTTGTATTGTATTTCATTAATTTTGTCATCGTTGTCAATACACGAAACACGTTTCCAACAAAAAAATAATGAGAAACGTGGCTGGTTGTAATGTTGTATCGTTCCAAATTATAATATTATTAAATAAAAACTCAAATTTTGTCCCAAATTCGTCTCATTAAACCAACTCCAACCCTTGAAGTAAGTTCTAAATTTTCCCTTCTATTCCCCCATTTCATTCCAACCCTTATTCTAAAATGGGGTTAAGTCTTAAAACTAAAAAAAAAAAAAAAAAACCAGATTCCAACCAAGATTAATGGTGAAGCCCACATGTGAG